ATATTCTTGACATTTTAGGAGGATGCTTGGAAATTATGGTCCAAGAACCTACACAGGAGGATAAGCTAAACCACTGTTTTATGGGTCTTGACCATGTATGCAAACCCATGTGCAGAATACATACAGAAATCGGTTTTCCATTACCTCGTGGATTTGTACCAGGCTCAACTCAGGTGTTCCCAAGAGGTCAGTACATGACACACAATGTAAATCAATCAGGTCTGAAATCTTTTTGGAGACGGCATCCAGCATACGTGAATCTAAGACTGTACACCTTCTTGCCTGCAAGAAGCAGCTTTGTATTCCCAAGACTGCTGAAGGCATGGTCACTCTGAAGAGGTCTACTGACCCCATGTTGCTTTGGCAAGGGCAGCTCTGTTAGTTCTGGCTCTGAGAGTAGCTTAATGGGGCCCTTCATTGCTGTAATAACTTTTCTTTCGAAGACCTGAGCAGGGTCATCCCAGCCCCTCCTGTCTCTGCCAGCCAAGAGCACCCTAAACTCTGACTTACACAGTCCTTTTCTCCATCACAGCGTACCTGAGAGTGGTTCATCTGTTCAGAAGGGTTTATGACCTGGTAGGTTAGGAAGTTTCCAGTATGTGAAGTGATTTGGAGTCTCATCAGTCTGGAGTGGGAGATCCAGGTTCAATTTCCCCTTCCTACGAAAGAGCTCTAGCTCCTAAGGTGCTGTAGCACCATAACTGCTACTGCCATTTTCATTGTTTGGGGAAGGAAGGTTTATTACTACTTACGAGTGGTGGCAATACTGCGGTGTTTTCCATCCTTGAAAATGAATGGTGGAGCAAGTTCACCAGGAATTCCAACGAGAGGCACTCTAGTTTTTGGGCTGCTTCTGGGCCAAATATTGAGCAATTCAGCACCATCACATCTGGGGCAATTCTGACCATAGTCCCAGGTCCTGGGTCAGAGCGAAGAGTGTCTGCCCATCATGGTCCCATGCTGCTCGCTGCTCCCACTGTCCTCCAGCTCCACATGGCTGTGGCTATCGGATGTCTTTGGGTACCTGTGGTTGGTTTCTTGAGGACACCTTCCAGGTATGGATGGTGATTTTCATGTTCTTTGGTGGCACGTTAGAAATTCCAAGATACACAGGTTAATTGCAGAGATCACTGTGTTTATTCTGGTGCCAAGTAAGATTAAGGATTTACTGATATGGGTTGTTTAATGATCTTACTTAACTCTGAAAAGACACTGTATTTTAAAGTCAAATTTTTTGCTGATTTTGTTGGTAACAGAAGAAAATGCTGATAGCTGTGCAGTTTGTGGAGTCTTAGAGAATGGGCTTATAAAAACAATACATTGACTTTCAACCAGAAGTTGTAGTTACACAGTTGTTGGATTGTTTGACGTGGGGATTTTGTGGCTGTTACTAATGAATACAGTGTGTACGTTCACATGGCTTAAGAGATGTTAAGAGGTTTTGTTTGGGGAATAGAGCAAAGAGACTTTTTCCTTCGCTTCAGAATTTCTAGAAACTCCCTTACGTTTTTCCATGTAGTGCACTGAGTCACAGCCCTCCTCTGAACTCCTTGTGTTTGGATGTACGGAAAAATACTTAGGTCAGGTATATGCTCTGCGCAGTTCTTTGGTGATTAGAGCTTGCTGTAGCAGATCAGGACACTGGATGATCCAGCCCAGTTACTTCTGGTAACGCTCAGCCTGCATAAAACCAAACCAACAAGCGACAGCCACAAAACTTAGTTGTTTTTGTAATTTAGTCCATGATCCAGAGAGTGGAGCCCTTCCTGGCCCATGAAGTAAGTCGCTTATGGCCCAAAGGTTCTGTACCCCTCATCTTTGCTTATGGATGGTATTGTAGCACCAGCCATAGCAAGGGACAGATGAAAGTTAATGTGACTTTTCTGTTAGACTTTGTTGTTCCTTTATAGGAATGAGAAACTGCTGAAATGGTCGGCATGAGCACTCGAAGCAAAGGAGAAAAATTAAGAAATAGAGATAGTTTATTGAGGTTATTAGCAACAAATTTTCTTTGGAATGTACTGCTCATCATGCCTATCATGAGTTATTTTTTCTTTTTCCCTCTTTGAAAATTATTTGCATAATATATTTACTGTTTTTTTGTGTATGTAAGCATTGTTTGTTCTTCCATTTTCAAACAAAAAAGTTCAGTTTGTGTTTCAAAGTTACTTGCTGTGGCAGTTTCCAACTGTCATACAATGTATGGTTCATCTCTTGAATCAAAGCGCGTGTTCATTCTGCTTTCTGGGGAATTGGCTGCAGCTTTTAAAAGGGAATGAGAGGTGCTCAGTGAAGACTAATGCATTTTGGTGCAAATTTAATCTTGATAAAACTTATGAAACTTCCTTAAAGAAATGAAATAATAATAAATTCTTAAAAACACATCAACCACTTGGATTCTTGAATACTCATTTAAAACTAAATAGCAGCACCCAGACAAATGCCTTTCATGCCATACCTGATGAGCACAGCAAATGTTAACATTTTTTTCATTCTCTGATTAAAAGGGCTGGCTTCCTCAATGGAAGAAGTTTCTCAGACCATGCGTGAAGGGGTGTCTGCAAGTAGCCAGATTTTATGCTTCTTTTCCCACATTGAAAAAAACCCTGATTATTAATTAAATGTTAATTCTTTTCAAAGTTTTGAAAGTCCTAATTCAGCATGGCATTTGCAAGCTCCAAAGAGTTGTTTTGTTCAAGGAGCTACTGAGCTAACAAAATTGAGTCTGACTGAGCATTTTCACCACTTGTAGAGATGCAAGGAGCTGACACACCGTGCTTTCTTAGCGTGCTTGGTGCCTCATACATCTATTTCCATTTGACGTTGTTATGCTTTCTGTATGCAGCAAGTGGAAAGTACGTATTACCCAAAGTTTGGGATCCAGGGAAATTTTCAGCTCATAGCCTTTGTCTTTTGCAACAACGTCACACTTCATTGGCTGTAAGCGTGTAAATATATGAGGCCAGACAGGAGAGTGCTGCAAATGGGTCCTTTACTCAAATGCTTCACATGTGGGGCACTGTGCATGGATGGGGGGGCAGAGAGAGCAGGAGGGGACAACAGGGCAACATGGGAAACTTTTCAATAGAAATCAGCACAATGACAAGAAATGGTGGATTTAAATATTGGTCTTCCAGTGCTCGCATTCAACCTGGGCATTTGCTTGTAACATTTCTAACTGATATTTTCATTGTGGGACTTTCCATTTGGAGATAGCATGTATAAACATACATACATACTTACGCAGGCATATATAGAGGGAGAGGGATCTTGGGATTGTGTAAGTGGCATTTTATATTCAGTACATTAAAATATATGTGTATTTGAAGGACTTAATGGCCGATTCTGAGGCACTTTTCCAAAAATAAGCATCATACCAACACTGCTTTAGAGCAATCGCTTTATTGGTGTAAATGATGATAGTTTCTGGATAGTTTTATGCTCATTTAAAGAGTGACAAGAAAAAAATCAGGTAAGTGAGTTGCAGTATTATTTTGCTCCTGTGCAGTAGATTGATGAGGGAATGCTAGTGAAAGATGCTGATCTCGCCAGGGAGATGGTGGGGAATAATGTTTTCCAGAGTGGCTGTGCCCCCACGTGGCTGTAGGGCACTCCTGAGCACTGAGCCCACCTTTGAAATGGCCTCGAAAAAACTTGTCTGCCTTGAGGTTCCCATCTGAAACACTGAGACTACCTTATCTCTGCTTTGCTGTGGTTTAGACAATTAATTGAATTTGTACTGCAGGCTTGAATAGTCTTGGACACAGATAGAGATCCTTGGGATACACTGTGCCTCTCGAAGCGATAATGTTCTTCTTTCAGTTGTGTGCGCAACCTTCAGCCTCAGGTTGCTCCTGCGAGTACGGGATTGGTTTTCCTCATCTGACAAGACCCAGCCAGGGAAGTGCAACCAAGGTGCTCATGATGGGCTCTCCTGCGTGGTTATATCTCAGAAGAGCATCCTTTTGCTGTTGACCATGCTAAGACCTAAAGATGTACTTTCACCCCCTTAACTTTTAGAGCTGGTAGCAATTTGCTCACCTGAACAAAGCAGTGCAGTTGGCCGCCGATGCTCTGCCGTTCGGTGGGGTAAGGCAGCCTGCCTCCGGGCAGCCACAGGGACGGAGCGAGCCCTCCAGGCTGCCACGGGGAAAGAACAGGGTATGTAAACCAGGGCAGGCTCTAGCCTCAGGCATGTGCTTACCTTTTCTCATTTAACCAGCTGGCACAAAGCTATTTTGCATGGCCATGTTTGTTTCCAGATGGATTGGAGGTGACACTATTGCTTGTATTAGTGATGTTAGGCTGATAACTCTATTTTCCTTTCTCTCAGTGCTCTGATAGCATGGGAGTGAGGAAGGGCTTGTAAGTACCTCCAGAGACAGGTAACAAACACTGAAGATTCATGAATTATTTTGGTTGCTCTTCAGTTGTCAGCAGCTCAGCCTAATTTAGGTGCTGTGACTTCCTATTTTTCATTTTGGAAATGACAAGTACTTTAGCAATGTATAATCTGTGATGATATTTGATTAAGATTTGATCCTACAAAAAATTCACCATGTGCTAAATGTGTGCATTTGGAAGCTTCAGTAACTTCCTGAGCATCATAGAATCATACTATGGTTTGGGTCGGAAGAGGCCTTTAAAGATCACCTAGTCCAACCCCCCCCTGCAATAAGCAGGGACACATTCAACCAGATCAGGTTGCTCAGAGCCCCGTCCAACCTGACCTTCAATGTTTCCAGGGATGGGACATCTACCACCTCTCTGGGCAACCTGTGCCAGTGTTTCACCACCCTCATCGTAAGAAAATTTCTTCCTTATATCTAGCCTGAATCTACCCTCTTTTAGTTTAAAACCATCACCCCTTGTCCTATCGCTACAGGACCTATTAAAATCATATGCAGGTGTAAGGTGAAGCATGAGCTAGCAAGTCTTTGCGAAGTCTGACTATGCAAAATTGGTACTTTATTATAGTAAACTTTTTTGTCATATTTCAGCCCTAAAAAAAGGACGTTTTTGGATCACCCCTGACCCATATCACAAAGACGACAACATCCAGATTGGGCGAGAGGTGAAAATCTCCTGCCAGGTGGAAGCCATCCCTTCTGAAGAGCTTACATTTAGCTGGTTTAAAAATGGACGTCCCTTGCGAAGCTCTGAAAGGATGGTCATCACACAGACTGACCCCGACGTTTCACCTGGCACCACAAACCTGGACATCATTGACTTGAAATTCACTGACTTTGGGACGTACACGTGTGTTGCGTCTCTGAAGGGAGGTGGCATATCGGATATCAGCATTGATGTCAACATCTCCAGCAGTACAGGTAAGGCGGCTTTCTTTGATATCGGTTTTACTTCAACATAGCCAAACTATGGCTTTCCTTGAGTCATAGAAAAAAGAGGTGTATACGCAGAGCACCTCTCACCATGGGGATATCCGAGCAGACCCTAGATCAGGGGCTGAGTTGCTTTGATTAAAGGACAGAAACCTGAATAAGTGTCAGGAGGTGCACTCTCCCGAGAACACACTAATGTTCGATTTACGCAAACAAGCCATCTTTTACTGTCAGAAAAGTTATTGCTTCTATAAAAGGACTTTGGCCTTTATTTAGGACTTCAAGGCATCCAGAGTAATGAAAAAATAGCTGGTAGGAAATTACAAGGAGAGAACAGGAGGGTGTTACGTTAACCAAGCTGAATCCTTCCAGCTACTCTAATCAAACAGCAAGTGCCAAGTATGGAAGAAGGAGCTCTTTTTCCTTAAAAATTATGCATTGCATGTTGGTGGATCATGCTATTCCTGATAGGCAAAAAGTTTAAGGTACCTATTACATGTGTTTCTAGATCAGTGATTGAAATGTCTCTCTCTTTGATGAGCTAGAGCCTTGGCTATTACTTTGATAATAAATATCTTGTTATTTCTACTATGGAGTAGGAATATGTAACACAATAGTAATTGCCTGCTTTTCTTTATCTCATTGCTAAAAGCTGGTTTGTAACCAATAGATTTCATAGACTTTTCCCCCCAATAGTTGACTTACATCCTCTACTATCCATCCTGTCTTTTATATGAAGCGTTGCTGTGCTTTTTCCTCAGATTGTGCTTGATATTCACTGGGGTAAGGCACATGGTGTATGCCGTTTAGAAGTAAGATGACAAAGAATACATTAAAAAACATTTTTATAGCATGGAAGTAAAATGTTTAATAGACATCTTCTGACCCCTTTTTACCAAACACATTTGAGTATATACTTTCGACTTTTTCAAAAAGATTAAATACACACTTTTTTCTCAAAGAGTATATCCACATTTCTGTTCTCCAAATTTTATGACATCAGTAATACTTTGCAAGTACATGTCATGTCTAAACAATCTCTCTTACAACTTAAATTATTGTCTAGACTTTAATACATGAACATGCCCTCCACCTTCAGTACGATACTGGTACCATGGATCCTGCTTGAGTGCCACATCACTTCTGACACGAGTCTGGAAGGTGTGCCTACTGAAAGGGTTTCATGAAGAATATTGTGTACAACAGGGAGATGAGACAGGATTGACCTGTGGTTTGGATAGGAGCCTAGGAAATAAAGCCATGTGATTAAATTAGGGGCCACTTCAGCAAAATGGACATATATAAGCCCATGGGACTGGATAGGAGGTATCTAAGGGAACTGACCAGTGTCACTTTAAGGCCACTTTATGATCTTTGAAAAGTCGTGGTGACCTAAGGAGATCCAACAAAGCCTGGAAAACCAGAAATTTTAGCTCATCTTCCAAGAAGGCAAGAAGGAGATGCAGGGGAGTACAGGCCAGTCATCCTCACCTCCGTCCCTGGGAAGGTCAGGGAGCATGTTCTCCTAGAAGCCATGTCAATCCACATGAAGGACTAGGAGGTGACTGGAAACAACCAGCATGGATTATCAGAAACGAACTGTGCCTGACCCAACCTGGTTGACTGCTGTGATAAAAAGACTGTCTCTGTGGGCAAGAGCAGGCAAAGGAAAGCTGTTTGCCTTGTAAAGCCTTCAGCACAGTCTTTTGTAGCATCTTTATAGCCAAACTTGTGAAGCATGGCTTGGAGAGGTGGACTGGGCATAAGGTGTGTTTGGAAAATGAGATGCAGAGAGTTGCATTCACTGATAGTTGAAATTTGTGTGTGTATAAGTGAACAAGCAGTCAACATTTACGCAGTTCACCTTTGCTGTGTCCCACGCTGAAACATAATGCGCACACACACAAACCTTGAGAGTCAGGAGGAAAACAGTAATTTTATTTAGTTTAGTTAGTTCTTATTTTATTATTTGCTATTTATTTTCTATTTGTGTTATTGTTCAGGGATCCTTGAATATTTTACTTCTTTTTGCTAAATTTCCTAAGTGTAAACCAGAAGTATTTGTTTGATAACTCTTGAAATGATTTTGCGCAATTTTATGGACTTTCAGTAAACTTCAGAATGATTATGCTGGAGCAATGCAAGGAGCTTGGGGAGGTAGTTGTGGAGGGCTGTTCCCTTGCAGTGGTACAGGCTGGGGCTGCCTGGCTGAGGAGCAGCTCTGCAGGGTCCTGGTAGGCAGCGAGCGGACATGAGCAGCAGCGTGCCCTGGCAGTGACAGAGGCCAATGGATACCGTGTCCAGTTTTGGAGCCCCGATGCAGAAGAAGCTTCAACAAACTGGAGCAAGTCCAGTGGAGGCCGTGAAGATGGTCAAGAGCAGCTTGGGGGAAGGGGGTTTGTCCAGCCTGGAGAAGAGACAGCCCTGGAGCACCTAACAGCAGCTGTCCCCTGCCTATAAGGGATGTATCCAGAGGATGGAGCCAGGATCTTCACAGCAGTGTGTACTGGGAAGGTGGGAGGCAACGGGCATGAGTTGAAATGAGAAGTTCAGACTGGGTATAAGGAGCAACTTCTTCCCCATGAGGATGTCCGAGCAGGAAGCAGAGGCATTGTGGGACCTCCATGCCGGGAGGTTTTGAAGACCTGATAAAGCCCTGAGCAGTTTCGTCTGACCTCACATCTGGCCACGGTTTGAGCTGGGACTTGAACTAGAGACCTCCTGAGCTCCCTTCCCACCTCAATTATCCCATGAAGACTGTAAGAATAGAAACACTAACCAACAGATTTGTGGACAAGGGAGCAGCCTGCCTCTGGGCCAAAAGAAACATGTTCTTCAAGCTTACGAATGCATATCTTACTAACAGGTAAAGAACTGAGAGGTTTATTATAGGGTAAAAGCTGAGTGTGGCATGATGGATGGCAGTTGCATACAAACTTTGTTACCTGCTCGCCAGGGTGAAGTGGACAGTGACGTTTGTGCAGTCATGCATTGCCCATCTGGCAGACAGTAACTGCTATATTATCTGTACTTGCTGAGGAATCATTTGGGAAATTGATGGGGTTTATTGGAAACATCCATTAGATGGCTGTACCTATAAGCTCGTCACAATTTCTGCAGGCAGTGATGAATTATGTCAGCTCTTAAATTTACTGTCCCGTAACACTCAAGAAAATCAGAAAGGGGGAAGAAAAACTAGTATTTTGGGATCAGCCTTATTTAGCATCTTAAAAGAAATTCTGCCTATTTGTATGACTTCGTTACCCGATTAAGTGGAAGCTGGAATAGTTTCAGTGTGCTTTTTGAAGGTCATTAGTGATTCATCAAGATTCATTACTGCTGTGGTAATTATGAACATAAGGCCTAGGCACAAATATGGTTTTCCAAATGCCAGGACTTCCACAGATATGTTAATATAGTGCTGTGTGTCTGTTTGCTGGTTTTGGGGAGAATTCTCTCTTCCTGACGTGCATGAGGTTCCTCCTGGAGTCACAGAGTGAGGCAGGAGGGACTGTGTCACCTCGTAAGGAAGGAGATGGTTAGGTCTCCTCTGTCCCTCCAGCAGATTGGAAAGGGATGTGTGGCAGTGCAAGGGACATGCCAGCCTCTTGCCATACTCGGCATTGCATTTCTTTAGCAGGAATATTTTTCCCTTGACATTTTGTACTTTCAGCAGAAAAGGCATAGATTTATGTCCTGAGTATCTTATATAAATGGACCTGAAGTAATCCCCTAGCAGCCTTCCCCCTGCCACATCTCCATAAAGTAGGTCACTGAATAGTGGAATTGAAGACTTAAATGTTGAATATTTGTCCTATAAAAGCCCTGTCATCCATAAAACCAACCCTGGGCAAATGTTACTGAAAGACGGGATGGCTCTTCTGTGTGTGTGCACGCATGTCATGGGGAATCTGAAGGCAGAAGAAGTTAAAACAGCAAGAAAAAACCCCGGTAAAATAGGCTCATTGTAAGCAAAAAAGAGAGGTGGATCAGGAGAGTGTGTTAGTCTTTGTAAGTGATCTTTTTCTCTGCCTTAAATATTGTATTCAAAGCAGGAAGAATAAGGCTTTAGGTGATGTATGGTCTGCTCTGTTCAGTATGGGTTCTTACGTTGTCTTTATCCCCCTAAAATCAGTATCGGTACAGTAAGAGATGTAACATCTGTCACTTCTGGCTTATTCTCTTTTCATCTTCCCCCTGGAGGTAGTATTGTGCAGTGAAGTGAGTTGTTATTTCAGGGGGGGTTATTTTACTTTACTCTCTGGCCGCACTGCTCTGAATTGCTCCTAGAAGGGCTGGATGGAGGAGATGGCTGATACTCTTGGGCTGGAGATGATGGTCACCCTTCTTTTCCTAAGAGAGTCCTTTCTGCTGTTTCATTCCTACCCAGTGTGGGCACAACTAGATGTCCTACATGGCAAATATGTCAATGAAATTCTTCATCTCTGGGTGAACCTGAAGATGTGCTGAGCCTGTACCACCCCGGGTACCCTGGGGTAGGCACGTCCCAGAGGCGGTCATCGACTTTGGGCATGAGCACGGGGCAGGCTGGTGGCCTGCAGGTCTCCTATTCCACCTCTGAGGCTAATCGTGTGACAGATAGAATGGGTTTTACACAACTGCTGCCAGAGACAGGCAGAGAAATTCCTGAAGAACTAGTATATATGAGGCTGTGTAGCCTCCCTGCAGTATGATAAGAGGGCTTCCCTGTTAAGCTAATCAGCTATCTATTAAATAATGAATTAATTAAACGTCCAGGCTGATGTGTTAGGACACGTGGCCTTGATCTGTTTGTGAAGTATGTGTCCTCTGGTCATCTTGTTCGTCCTTTGATGATACATAAAAGAGACCTTCATTTTAGTTGTAAATGTTTATTAAAATCACAGTACTGCCTCTTTGCATAATGAAAAAATGCTTTTTGTGAGATAATTAGTGGTCCAATTAAGATATTTGTAAACCTTAAGCACTGTCCAGAGCGATCGTTCATG